CACTGCACAGTGAATGGAACATTTGGTGGAAGGTGTAGGCATAATGTAACTGGCAGGAAGTGACTGTGTCTTTGTAACCCCCCTAGGATGCTGGGTAAAATGTAGGTACTATCTAAATCTGGACAATTAATATGACCCCTCCCCCAAATGGTTACAATGTCAGCTCACACCCTGCACAAAGATTTTCCTGCTACCACGTGTTTTAATGAATGTTGCAATTATGACCTTTAAATAAAATGTGTCACTCGCTGCCAAGCCCAGACAGGAATGCAGCAGAGTTTACACAACACTAGCTCCATACAGAGGCAAGGTTCTTTCCAGTAAAAGCATTCAAAGATTTAGCTTAATTATATTTAAATACAAACTGGTGCAGGAAATATTCATAGAAAATATATTATAACACAGACATAGGCAACAGTTAAATAAAAGGGATTAAAAGTAAAATATAAAACTTAAGTGAAGCTAGTCTAGTCTTTGATACAGTACAGAGTAGGGATGCACCGATACTAGTATCGGTCCCTATACTCGTGCTCACCTAAATGCTCCCGATGTCTAACCCAATACCGGAACTTCCAGTATCAGGAAGCTGGGCAATGAGTCATTAGACGCTGCCTGGCTTCCTGATTGGTCGGGAAGCTGGCTCAATGCTTCCTCATCACCAGGGAGCATGGAGCCGGCTTCCTGGCCAATCGGGAAGCAGGGTGGCGAGTAATGACTCACCCCTCTGGCTTCCTAATTGGCTAGAAAGCCTTCTCCTTGCTTCCTTTACACATGGTGATGAGGTACCATGGAGCCTGCTTCCCGGCCAATCAGGAAGCTGGGCGGCATGTAATGACTCGCCGCCCAGCTTCCTAATTGGTTGGGAAGCTGGCCAATCAGGAAGCCAAGCGGCGAGCTTTACCAGCTCCCCGGCTTCCTGATTGGCCAGAAAGCCGGCTCCATGTTTCCTCTTCACCTGGTGACGACGAAACATGAAGACGGCTTCCCAGCAGATGGAGAAGCCGGGTGGCGAGTAATTACACGCCGCCAGGGTTCCTTAATGGGACTTCTAGTATCGGTATTGGTATTCGGTATCGGCGAGGAATTTTTTTTATCGGTACTTGTACTCGATACAGAAAAAACGGTATCGGTGCATCCCTAGTGCAGAGTTTGTTTCACTTGCAGAGTGAGTGCAGTCTGGCCTTCATTAAAGGGAATGTATCAAAACTGGAGCAGCTGTGCATGGCAACCAATCAGCTTCTCTCTTTCATTTTCAAATCTTAACTGAGCAAACTGAAGAGAGAAGCTGATTGGTTGCCATGCACAGCTGCTCCAGATTTTGTCTGCTCCAGTTTTGAGAAATTCCCCCCCATTGTATTTATAAAGGAAGGACATTGCCTTACACCAGCTGCAGATCTATAGTAGAAGGGATAAGGGGTAGATAAACAGATAGATAGATTAGATAGATAGATAGATAGACTGATGGATATATAAAGAGATAGATAGATAGATAGATAGACTGATAGATGGATGGATGGATGGATAGATAGATGCAGATGGGATAGACAGAAATCAGAGGGGTCGGATACACGCCGGCACATCACGTTGGCTATAAATGAGGCATAAGCGTGTTGTAGTGATAATTTGGAATAAAATGCCGCTGTGTGCTGGGAGAGTGGCATAAAATAGCGTTATATCATGAGAAGAGCCGGTGGGCCCTGGGGAAGGATCTCTGTGCTGTACAGTTTACTGCGGCCTCAGGAGAGAAGACTACTGTTACAAAGAGAGTTAACCCCTTCCCGCCCGGCGCGGGCGACTTAAGAGGTTACAGCCAAGGTTCCTGCTGGCGATGCCTCCAGCAAGATAAGCAGGGCTGTCTGTCTCTGCATTCCCAGATGTCCCCAGCGGATGAGGGGGCTGCCCATGTATTGTCCTACTTAGCATGAGAGTGACAGCTGAGTGACCAAACCCAAACACATCACCAACTTTGTATACTAATCTAATTCATTGGATTCACACTAAAAGGCTCGCACGTAACACCCTCATCACCAGGAGGAGTCACTGCTGATCAATAGAGGGGAGAAAATGAAGAGCGAGCGTTGGGTGACGGCCGCCATCAATAAAACATGGTGCTGCCCATCACATGACGCCTCTTTCTGGATAATTGAGATGTGTTAAACTGTAAGCTTTTACGACCACTTAGATTGGAAGGGGGAAAAACCACATTGATTGTCTATGACAGCATGCTTCTGGTAACGTTCCCATAGACAAAACATGGCACAATGTACATCAAATAATAAAGAAGAATTTTGTATGAAATTCTGAAAAATCGTTCATAAGAACATTCCACGATGTCATCATTCAGACGACTCATTTTGTTTCGAAAGACCTTAAAAAAATGTGTCCAGATCTGATACTTGAATAGAATCCCAGAAATATCCAACAAGTTTCTTTCATTGCTTAATGAAATCAACAAAAGAATAACGCAAAGCAAAGTTTATTTGTATAAGTGTATTATATATATTTATGGTGTGCATAGAAAGGAACAGAAGGACGGAGACTTCAGGTGAGTTCCAGTGCAGTGCGGAAAAATGCAAACATGCTGTATTATTCTGCACCTCTCCACTCCGCACCTCCCCACTCCCCACCACTGCCCTCCACACCTCTATATTCCACATTACTCCACTCCGCACCCCTCCGTTTTACACTACTCCACTCCACCCCTCCCCACTCCCCACCACTGCCCTCCACACCTCTATATTCCACATCACTCCACTCTGCACCCCTCCATTCTGCACTACTCCACTCCTCCCCACCACTGCACTCCACACCTCTATATTCCACATCACTCCACTCTGCACCCCTCCATTCTGCACTACTCCACTCCTCCCCACCACTGCACTCCACACCTCTATATTCCACATCACTCCACTCTGCACCCCTCCATTCTGCACTACTCCACTCCTCCCCACCACTGCACTCCACACCTCTATATTCCACATCACTCCACTCTGCACCCCTCCATTCTGCACTACTCCACTCCTCCCCACCACTGCACTCCACACCTCTATATTCCACATCACTCCACTCTGCACCCCTCCATTCTGCACTACTCCACTCCTCCCCACCACTGCACTCCACACCTCTATATTCCACATCACTCCACTCTGCACCCCTCCATTCTGCACTACTCCACTCCTCCCCACCACTGCACTCCACACCTCTATATTCCACATCACTCCACTCTGCACCCCTCCATTCTGCACTACTCCACTCCTCCCCACCACTGCACTCCACACCTCTATATTCCACATCACTCCACTCTGCACCCCTCCATTCTGCACTACTCCACTCCTCCCCACCACTGCACTCCACACCTCTATATTCCACATCACTCCACTCTGCACCCCTCCATTCTGCACTACTCCACTCCTCCCCACCACTGCACTCCACACCTCTATATTCCACATCACTCCACTCTGCACCCCTCCATTCTGCACTACTCCACTCCTCCCCACCACTGCACTCCACACCTCTATATTCCACATCACTCCACTCTGCACCCCTCCATTCTGCACTACTCCACTCCTCCCCACCACTGCACTCCACACCTCTATATTCCACATCACTCCACTCTGCACCCCTCCATTCTGCACTACTCCACTCCTCCCCACCACTGCACTCCACACCTCTATATTCCACATCACTCCACTCTGCACCCCTCCATTCTGCACTACTCCACTCCTCCCCACCACTGCACTCCACACCTCTATATTCCACATTACTCCACTCCGCACCCCTCCATTCTACACTACTCCACTCCACCCCACTCCCCACCACTGCACTCCACACCTCTATATTCCACATTACTCCACTCCGCACCCCTCCATTCTGCACTACTCCACTCCACACCTCCCCACTCCCCACCACTGCACTCCACACCTCTATATTCCACATCACTCCACTCTGCACCCCTCCATTCTGCACTACTCCACTCCACCCCTCCCCACCACTGCACTCCACACCTCTATATTCCACATGACTCCACTCCGCACCCCTCCGTTTTACACGACTCCACTCCATCCCTCCCCACTCCCCACCACTGCCCTCCACACATGTATATTCCACATGACTCCACTCCGCACCCCTCCGTTTTACACAACTCCACTCCATCCCTCCCCACCACTGCCCTCCACACATGTATATTCCACATTACTCCACTCTGCACCCCTCCATTCTGCACTACTCCACTCCTCCCCACTCCCCACCACTGCACTCCACACCTCTATATTCCACATTACTCCACTCTGCACCCCTCCATTCTGCACTACTCCACTCCACACCTCCCCACCACTGCACTCCACACCTCTATATTCCACATTACTCCACTCCGCACCCCTCCATTCTACACTACTCCACTCCACCCCACTCCCCACCACTGCACTCCACACCTCTATATTCCACATTACTCCACTCCGCACCCCTCCATTCTGCACTACTCCACTCCACACCTCCCCACCACTGCACTCCACACCTCTATATTCCACATTACTCCACTCCGCACCCCTCCATTCTACACTACTCCACTCCACCCCACTCCCCACCACTGCACTCCACACCTCCTATCTTCCACATTACTCCACTCCGCACCCCTCCGTTTTACACTACTCCACTCCATCCCTCCCCACCACTGCCCTCCACACATCTATATTCCACATTACTCCACTCTGCACCCCTCCATTCTGCACTACTCCACTCCACCCCTCCCCACCACTGCACTCCACACCTCTATATTCCACATGACTCCACTCCGCACCCCTCCGTTTTACACGACTCCACTCCATCCCTCCCCACCACTGCCCTCCACACATGTATATTCCACATTACTCCACTCTGCACCCTCCATTCTGCACTACTCCATGCCTCTCCACCCCGCACCTCTATATTCCACATGACTCCACTCCGCACCCCTCCGTTTTACACGACTCCACTCCATCCCTCCCCACCACTGCCCTCCACACATGTATATTCCACATTACTCCACTCTGCACCCTCCATTCTGCACTACTCCATGCCTCTCCACCCCGCACCCCTCCATTCTACACTACTCCACTCCGCACCTCCCTTCTCCACACTACTCCATACCTCCCCACCCCTGCACTCCGCACCAGTCCATTCTACACTACTACACACCTCCCCACCACTGCACTCCACATCTCCCCACTCCCCACCACTGCACTCCACACCTCTCCATTCCACATTACTCCACTCCGTACCTCTCCATTCTACACTACTCCACACCACTTCATTCCATGCTACTGCACTGCACACCTCCCCACCTCTCCATTCCACACTACTCCACACCTCTACACTCTGCACCTGTCCATTCCACACCACTGCACTCTGCACCTCTCCATTCCACACCACTGCACTCCACTCCACATTACTCCACTTCACACCTCCCAACTCCCCACCACTGTACTCCGCACTTCTCCATTCCACACCACTGCACTCCACACCTCTATATTCCACACCACTCCATTTAATACTACTGCACCCCACACCTCCCCATTCCCCACCACTGCATTTCACACCTCCCCCACTCTCCACACCTCCCCACCACTGGATTCCACACCACCCTACTCCCCACTCTGCATCTGTAAACCCCACACCTCTCCACTCTGCACCTCTCTGTTTTTCTCTACTCCGCATCTCTGTACTGTACAACTTTCCACGCCGTGCTCTCCACTAAACACCTCTCCACTCTGCATCTCTCTACTCTGCACCTCCACACTCTGCACCTCTCTACTCTGCATCTCTCCACTCTGCTCCTCTCCACTTTGCTCTTCTTAACTTTGCACCTCTCCACCTCCGTGCTCTGCATCTCTCCACTCTGCATCTCTCCAATCTTCATCTCTCCACTCTGCACCTCTCCACTCTGCATCTCTCCAATCTTCATCTCTCCACTCTGCACCTCTCCACTCTGCATCACTCCAATCTTCATCTCTCCACTCTACACCTCTCCACTCTGCACCTCTCCACTCTGCACCTCTCCACTCTGCATCTCTCCACTCTGCATTTCTCTCAACTCTGCACTCTACACCTCTCCACTCTGCACCTCTCCACTCTGCATCTCTCATCATCCCTCCCATCTTCATCTCTCCGCTCTACACCTCTCCACTCTGCACCTCTCCACTCTGCACCTCTCCACTCTGCATCTCTCCACTCTGCATTTCTCTCAACTCTGCACTCTACACCTCTCCACTCTGCACCTCTCCACTCTGCATCTCTCCACTCTGCATTTCTCAACTCTGCACCTCTCCACTCTGCATCTCTCTATTCTACACCTCTCCACTCTGCTCCTCTCCACTCTTCACCTCTCCGCTCTGCACTCTACACCTCTCGACTCTGCACCTCTCCACTCTGCATCACTCTATTCTACACCTCTCCACTCTGCACCTCTCCACTCTGCACCTCTCCACTCTGCACCTCTCCACTCTTCCCCTCTCCACTCTGCTCCTCACCAATCTGCATCTCTCCACTCTGCACCTCTCCACTCTGCACCTCTCCACTCTGCACCTCTCTACTCTGCATCTCTCCACTCTTCCCCTCTCCACTCTGCTCCTCACCAATCTGCATCTCTCCACTCTGCACCTCTCCACTCTGCACCTCTCCACTCTGCACCTCTCTATTCTACACCTCTCCACTCTGCATCTCTCCACTCTTCACCTCTCCACTCTGCACCTCTCCACTCTGCACCTCTCCACTCTTCACCTCTCCACTCTGCACCTCTCCACTCTGCATCTCTCTATTCTACACCTCTCCACTCTTCACCTCTCCACTCTGCTCCTCACCACTCTGCACCTCTCCACTCTGCACCTCTCCACTCTGCACCTCTCCACTCTGCATCTCTCCACTCTGCACCTCTCCACTCTTCACCTCTCCCCTCTTCACCTCTCTTCTCCGCGT